ATCCAAGTTTATTATATGTACATATCAATAGTGAATGTTGTAAAGGAAGATATGCTTCAAGAATTTCAAGAGCTTTTTCATAATAATCAAATGCTAAAGAATATTTATCCATTAAATGATATACTAAACCAAGATTATAATATGTTTTAACTAATATTGGATCATTTAATGAAATATTTTTAGTTTGAATATTCAATGCATGTTGAAATTGTTCGATTGCTTCTTTATAATTATCTTGATCTAATAATACATTACCAATATCATTATAACGATCAGCAATTTTAAGTTGATTAACTTCAGCGTCATGAAGATCAATATTTAAAGCACGTCGATAATATCTCAATGCTTCATCATAATCAGTACGTTTTTTGAGAAGTGCACCAATATTAGTATAGCTTGCAGAAAGAAGACGACGATCAATTGGTCGATAAGAAAGATTAATTTCTATTGATCTTTTATAAAAAGAAACAGCTCGATTTAAATTAGTAGAACGACATCCTAGTTGATGATAAACAGCAGCAAGTTCTTCCAACTCTTCATCTTCAGCTTTTTGAAATAATGTTTGATAGTCAAATTCTTCAAGTGACATTTTTATTTAAATAAATTCTAGAAGAAATATAATAACATAAATTTCTTGACTTTTGTCTTCTAAATTATCACGTATTTTTGTTGACGATTGTCGTAACGAAGAAAAAAATTGATTGTTGTCATTACAACGAGTAAAAAAGAAAATGTCGGCAGAACATTGAGAACGCAAAATCTTAATAAACAGAAGTTGTCCAATCCGTTGAAAAAAAAAAACACTTCGTCGATACGTTAGTCATCGTTGTATTTTTTTCTTCTTTTTCATTTCTATTCTTAAAATAACAAGAGAAGTAAGACATATATTTAAAAAAGAAGACTTTTTTATCGCATGATCGAGCATAATTTATTTTCTACATGAATAAAAAGAAATGTTCGATTGATATATTAGTAAACACTCAGATATATTAAGTAAAAGTATTAACATATTAGACATTTATGGGAAGTTCGATATTCTGGTTATGGTATAACTATGATTCGTTTTACATCTACTAAGTCAAATGGTGAACCACTTTTCAATCAATGAATTTATCATAGATACTCAACTATAAATTCAATTCGTACTATTATTTACTCATGTATTTCCATCGATCACGTATATACTCGTATCACTCTATACATATTCATGTAAAAAAAGTCAGATTAAAATTCAGATTAAAATCGATTAGAGTTTCATTAAAAAACAGTTAAAATCATACACTTATAATCGATTAGGAACTGATTATGATCAAAAACTAATCGAAAAAAATCATAGTTTCGAAATGCCATTGATTGTTCTCATTAATTTCGGTTATGATTGATTAAAAACTTTACGCAAAAAAACATCACTTTGACTTGATTTTTACTTGACTTAACAGTTATCAGCATATTTCTAAAAAATACTATCCATTGATCGTTTGATTGTTTCTCTGATTCATTTTCTATCATCAATTGAATTCACAGCTGTTGTAGCTATAAGCAAAGAGAGTAGCGGCTAACTTTTCTTGTTGTCGTCGTTTTCATTATCTCGAAGCTTGAAAAAAGCTAAATTCATAAAAATGAGTCTTTTTTCGTTGCTTTTTATAAGCAAGCGGAACGTTTTCTGCATTATATCGACATAATGAAAACAAAATCCATCTAATATTTATAATATCCGGGTTTTATTATGCGTGAATGAAATGTCACACAGAAAATTGGATGAAATTTATATCATGTAGAAATCTCAACGTCGCTAATGATGTTTCAACGAGCATCAGATAATGCGTCGTTCTCGAGATCATCACATCACAAAATATAAGGTTTGAATGTGAAATACGATAAAGAAAAAAAATCGACTAATTGCTATAAGATGCTTTGCATTTAAAAAGAAAAGCATTAACGTTAAGAAAAAGAAATTCCGCTTTTTTAAATAAGAACATTTTTCATGAGTCACATAAATTACCTAGTTGAAGAGAAAATATAAATTCTTGCTATGTTACGATAATATAAATATAGATTAGGATTCAATAAAAATTAGTCAACTATTTGTGTAAGATAATCATAATTACTGATAAGAAAGAGTGAACAGTAACTTGACAAAATAGATGAATAAGCTAAATAAATAAATGAAGAATAAATGATGGCGTCACAATTAATCATTAGTCACAATTGTGAATAATCAAAATGATTTTAAAAAAAAATCATTTCTCGTCTTGGAATGGCACAGATACCTCATCGTTTACTTTGATACTTGCATTCCCTGCTATAAAAACAACGATTGTTTTTTCTTCAAAACTTAATAAAAACATGACAACCTTGAAGATTACGGGCTGTGCTCGTCTTAGATAGGCTCGATGACCTGCTTGAGTATTTGATAATAATCTCAAGAAAAGAGAATTCAATGATATATTGCTCGTACTATAGGTGATGAAACAGCTCAGATGAAAACGTTGTAGAATTTGAATGCCGTCGATAAAAAGTGCAACAATCAGTTCTTGATTGATTGCACATTTTTATCTTAAATTTTTTATACAATATATCTGCTATCAATGTTCCTACGGCCATAGTTAATGTTTTTGTTTATAGAACTTCTCGAAACAATAACAGATGTAGAGCAAAATCGTACTTTCCATGTGACTATAGTATAAACAATATTATAGAATATTGATACTTTGTTGCTGTATATTATTTCTGTTAGTGTCTAGTGTAGTAAAGAGTATTCTTTTGATAAGAAATTCATAATGCAGGTTCATCAGAATTGCTTGAAAAGAAAGACATGGATTTCACATAAATTCGCTTTTTCACTACCCAAGAAGTACATTTTCTCACTGTCCCATGCATGCAAGACTTTATTTTTTTCTGGAACGTGATTCATTGTGAACAAAAGAAAAATATTAAAACAATGTCAACTTCTCGATTTTTTTATCGCGTTTTCCCTTCGCTTATTGACATACACACCTTTTGCAAAAATAAAAATTAGAGATTGTGACGCAGTTTTTTTTTGTTTCTTCCTTTGTATTACGTATATATCTTTACTCATTGATTCGTATTCATTGTAAAACTCGTATTTTAATTTCCTTTCTTGGTTATTGCATATGACGCACGATGTTTCATGTACATTTCTCCACAACACGCGCCATCTGAGAATACTTTGATTGGTGTTATAAAATCCAAACCTATTCTTGAAGCAGTAAAGAGAAATTTACTCCAGCAATAAAAACTGTTAGCGCAGTTCTTGTGTGATTAAATTATGAAACACCACATAGCTACTGTTGCTAATCGCAAGGGGGTGGGGGTATCTATTTTGGAACACATTTCTTTAACATTCTGTTACTTCATCGTTGAAAAATGCAATAGGGAAGTTGTTCATAAATTATCAGGAGACATTATTGATACATAGCTTTTGATCATATGTCAAGGACACTTGTTACGATCTGTGATGAAGGACATATGTTTATAACGTGTTTGTGATGTGTGTGATTACTTGTTGCTAAAAAGTCTGTCATATCTGTGGAGAATGGAAGGTGGCTTGGATTCGAATTTCTTCTCCTATATCTCAATACTCCTATTTGATTGTGTTTCATAAGTAAAAAAAACAAATTCAATTTGAAAAAATATCAGATGCATCGATATCTTTCTTTCACCCAATTACTCACGAACTCATGCTAGATCCAGTCATTGATACCGAT